TTTCTTTCTTTCTTTCTTTTCTTTTTTTCTTTTTTTTATTTCGTAAAAATAGAAAAAAAGAATTGCGCATACACAAGTCAAGGGAGGGGAAAAAAAAAAAAAAAAAAGAACACATCATGAAGGGGCTGAGTTGATCCCTTTCGAAAAAAAAAAAAATAAATCTCACGCGTGATTCAAAACGTGTGCGTGAGACTACGCGCGTGTGTGTGCGCGTGTGCGTGCGTGGGTGTACGGTGCAAAATCGGAAGGAATCAGAAGGAACGTAAGAATTGACGTAAGAAGGAACGAAAAACAGTAAAAAAAAAAAAAAAAAAAAAAAAAAAATACGTTATCACTGTACATTTCACGTCTTCTTCGTGTTCCCGCCCCCTGCCCCCCCCCCCTCTCTCTGCTCGCTTTTATTCAATTATTCTGTGTTTCTCTACTTTTTGCTCTTCTGCATCAACCGCCCCCGCCCACCCCCCCTTTTTATCGTTGATCTCTTCCTCTCTCTTTTTCTTCTCTCTCTTTCTTCTGTCTTCTTCGATCTCTATTTTCTCTTTTCTGTTGCTTCTTGCGTTTCTTCTTCTCCCGCAACCGCTACCCCCCCGATCGATCTCGACTTTTTTCTCGACGATACACCGTTTATCCGCATACCTTTTCTTTCATTCGATTTGATTATTTGCTTGGCTTGCTTCCCTACTAACGATTACTTCGAATTATTTATGTTGCACGTGTACGAACAAAGTAAATCGATTTTTTTAAAGAAATTTTTTCGAAGAAACGCGTTAATAAATGTTTTCGTTGTAAACACGTTAAGTGCGTCTGTCTCTTCTTTCTTCGCACGTATATCTCTATATCGACGATGATTTCCACGACGATCGAACAATTATATCGTGAAACTTGAAGTTGAATTGATGAATTGGATCGAAGCAATTTTTTGGCGTTGTTTCGATTGTCTCGATCGAAAGAGAAAAAAAAAGAAAACTCGAAATTTAATTCCTTTATCGCGACATGATAACGATGGCGCGGTCACGAATTCTCTTTGACTCGGCAGACGTCTAAATTAACAGCATGGACCAATTTCTTTTTTTCTTTTTTTTTTTCCATCGCTCTACCAAATACATGCCAATACACGCATCGCAAATTTTCTTATTATTAACTCGTCGGCCGATCGTCAATTCAATCACGATACAGAATCCGATATTTCTCCAATAATAATAATAAACCGTTGCCTCGTTACACGCATTTCTCTTCTCTTTGCCGCTTAATTCGAAGCTTAATTGCGAATTTTGCGTACATTTCTTTTTATTATTATTATTATTATTATTATTATTATTACAATACGTCGCGAGAGAGAAGTATGGCACTTCATATTCCCCCCTCCCCCCCAGCGAGGGAAGAAAAGAAAAAAGGAAAACATCGATCTTTCTTTCCGTTTTTTCTTTTTTCTTTCTTTTTTTCTTTCTTTTTTTTTTTTTTTCTTTCTAGTTCCACGATTTTTTGCATCGATCACGAGACGAGACGAGACGAGAATAAAATCAGCCGTAACTTTATCGATATTACTTTATCGAATATCGTTCAATATGCATATACTTCTTTACCGTAAAAAAAAAAAAAAAAAAAAAAAAATAGAAAGACGCCGATGAGAGATCGAAGCGTTGAGAGAAACGCTGTTAAGAACGACGTAGGTACGTACGTACGTAGGTAGCAAGGAACAAACCTGCATTTTTTCGAAACACATTCGCTGCTCCCCCACTCCACCACCCTCCCCCCTATTTTTTGAACATTATTACCTCCCGTTGGAATTTTTGATCAAACAATTGGATGTGTTTGAAACAAGATTATCATTATTATTATTATTATTATTATTATTATTATTATCCGTGTATTGTATATCGTAACTGCGCCCCCTACCCCCCTCGACCCCCCCCCCCAAAATGTAGATAATCAAAAAACGCTGGTTGTACCGTTACTACCTCCCTTTTTCCACGCTTTTCTTTTTTATCTTGATTCCACTTGATTAACTCTCACGAAGGTGGGCCATCTTGAGAACCAAGTGAGAAAAAAAAAATATCACGAGAGAGCGAAGTGCCATGCTGTGAAAATTCTCCGGAACCCTCCACCCCCTTATTTGTCGCCTCTTGTTTTCTATTTCTCTTCTTCCCCCCCCCTCCCCCCTTTTTTTTCGTCTGATCAACCACGCGTGTAAATCAATCCTTCTGTGTTGTGATCGTGAAACGAATAATACGAATTTCTCTTCTTCTTCTTCTTTGTTCTTCTTTGTTCCCCTTTGTTCTTGTTCTCCCTTTGTTGTTGGAGGAGACGTGAAAGTAAGACGTAACACGTACACGCGTCTACGTGACGATCGATACATGGGTGATCGACGAGCGAAAATGATTTTGCACCGATTCGCACGCACCACCGACTGTCCTCACTGTCCTCTTGTCATGGTGTTCAATTGGGCCTGTAAATAGCGGATCCTTTCTGGCTTCTGAAGTCTGTTCCTCCCCGCTTCGATATTTTTTCACTCTTGGATAAATAAATAATTAAACGAATGGAAACGAGTGAACTTGACATTGAATGACGAAGACGACGACGATGACGACGATGGCGTCGAGAATCGAAGTTGTCGTCGCGTGAACAAAATTTTCTCACCCCAGCGCGAGAGGAGCAGAATTTCTACTCGGCCAGGGAAGGGATTGTAGTGGACTTTTTTACTTCTTTTTTTTTCCTCTTCACCCCTATGTGGACAAAGAGCTGATCGTGACCAGCTCTCCCTCTTGATTGGCTCTAGAATGAAATTCGCGTCCTATCACCTCTCGCTCGTCTCCCTTCTCTCTACATTTCTCGATCCCAGTGTTCAATAGTATATATACATGTATATAGTGTAATCTCCGTTTCCTCTTTGTTTTTCACTTTTCGTCTCTGTGCAATTCGTTCGACCCCTTCTCTCATCCCCCACTCTCTCTCTCTCTCTCTCTCTCTGACCGACTCAGAGTTCCTCTTCCTCGTCGTCGAGCGAACCGTGGACGGAACGGGAAAGGAATGAGCCGAGAGCGGAACAGCGGAGAGCGGAGAAAGAATCCGACAAGTGGCTTCCGGAGGAAGTTTTACCGGGGAGAACGTTCGTAGGTAGAAAATCAATTTGTTCGAGAGATCCTTGGTAGAATGGAAAAGAAAAAGAAAAAAATAAAAAGAGCGGGAACTTTTTCATTCGGGTGGGGAAACGTTCGAGATGATTTATAATATGTAGATATATTGGCACGCTTCTCGTCAATTTCTTTCGTTTCGTATGATTCATATCGGACACGCGAACTTGATTAAAAGATTAAAAATAAAGATCACGCACAATCGGGGAACGAAATTCATGCCGGTTTATTAATTTTTAACGTTCGATGATCGGTGTATTATTCGGTCTGCTAAGCGTCACGAGGGAAATAAAAAAATGAAAAAGAACGTGTCGGTTTTCCCTTAAACGAGTTATGCCGTATGAAAGCCCTCCCTCTTCTCTTTCGTGCAAATGGCTTTTTAATCGTCGCATCGAAGAACTCGAATTCAATTTGAAACAACGATCCAAGAGTTTCTCTAATTTCGATCGATAGCCTAACTTTGCCATTTCTCCTTCAGTTCAATATTTTTCACTGTCTGTGGGGGGACGTTGAACAGGCTATATATGTATATATGTATACGTGTATATACAGGTTTGATTTAGTCTTAGTTTAGTCTTTTTTCGATCTTTTTTTCTCTTTCCCCTTTTTGCATCGATAACCTCTCGCCCTTCCAACCACGTCTTCCCTCGAATCGTTACCCCATTTCATTCCCACCACATTGTTGCCCCGGCATTGCAGTTAATCGGCAAACCAATTCATCTCGACTCGTCGTCGAGCGAGCCTCGCTAACATCACCATGTATCCGCCATAAAACGTGCACGCCATAAAATCCCTGTCCCCGCCTGCTTCTGGCACGCATGCTAACTTCTGCTCCAGAATATCTTCTCTGTTCTCTTTCGCCCGCCTCTCTTTCGCTCACCCACCACCGCTCGATCGTTTTCAATTTTGATGTAACGTGTCCACCATGCTTTTTCTCCACTATTTTGCCTGTGATTGGTGCCGTTGTGTGCGTTTTGCATTTTGTGTGAATTTGTGCGTCAATTGTGAATTAAAAAAAGAAAAACCAAACTGCTTCTTTTCTTATATAATCGTAATTGTCTACCTTCTGTGACCACCCTTAATTTGGTAGGGTAAAGTCGACGAACGATTGCCCTCTCGAAGCAAAAAAAGAAAATGGAACGATCCGTGCAAAGATTTAAAGGGATTTTCCTCGGCTCTTAAATATATTTAAAGATTTGAAGATAAGATTGTCAGAGGGTGTCGTTTCCACTCGATTTTCCTCTACTCTTTACCGGCGATTAAACGAGAAATAAGCATGATTTTTCTCGTTTCGTTCTCGACACGAAATCTCGAATCTAATACACAAATTGTTCGATCGCTGCAGATCGCGGACTTGAACAGCCAGGTGAACGACCTCCGAGGTAAATTGTAAGTAATACCTTTTTTTTAAGCAGTAAATTCTTCTCTTTCTCTCCATCCAATTACTATATATACATAAGTATATATATACACGCACTTTGCAATAATACGGTCTGTGAACGTGGTTTAGCATGAAACCAACACTGAAGAAAGTGTCCAAGTACGAGAACAAGTTCGCCAAGCTCCAGAAGAAAGCGGCCGAGTTCAACTTCCGTAACCAGCTTAAACAGGTTAAGAAGAAGGAATTCACCCTCGAGGAGGAGGACAAAGAGGTAAGAGAGATCGTTTTCGATTTAATTCGAGTCGAAATTTATTTCTTTTTTTTTTTCTTAACTTCAGACTTTTTTCTCCTTACCACCCCGTCGACGGCAATCGACAATTTTTCATCTCGTTCATCTTCTTTCGTACAACTTTCTTTTCTTTCTCTTCTTCCTCTTGCTCGTAGGAATACAAGACTTCGCGATGACATGTGTTCGTTTGCAACGCGATTATTTTGGATTAAAATCAGTCTTTTATTTATACGAGCGAGATAATCGAATAATAAATTTTTGAATAATTTTTGAATACCTTTTTTCCTCTTCTTCTTTTTCTTTTTTGCCATACGACGGGTGGGTGAAAACATTCACGTTTTTTTTTTCCAGCCAGATTGAGAAAGACAGTTTTTGTGGCTCTGGTTTTCTTTCCGTGTATAAAAACCCGATCAGCAGGTTTTTTTTTTTTCCCCTCGTATTCGTAGAATTTTGATCGTTCGGACGCGCCCTTCCTTTCCACGGAGATCAACCGATTCGTTCCGTTTTATTTCACGCGAGATGAAATTTATACGCGTTCTATAAAATGATCGGCCGATCTCCCGAGAGGTGGGACCGTTCTCATTTTCGTATACGTTCTCCCTTTCTCCCCCCCTCCCCCCCCCAATTGTAGTGATAGTTGACTAGGCAATTGTGTTGTTCTCCACAGCCCAAAAAATCGGAGAAGGCAGAGTGGCAGACGAAGAAGTAGATTTAAAAACAGAAACATGAGATAAACGTGTAAAAAAAAAAAAAGTGAACGAATCGAAAAAGAAAAAGGAAATACTATCACAGGCGTGCACAGGCCATCGAATAAACACAGATTTAATAAGAAAAAAAAAAAAGAAGAGAATCAACATTAACACATAATCAACATATCCGTGTACACACATATCCGTGAATTAGACATCCGCGGCAAAATGAAAATGAAAATGTTCTCATTTCCTACACTCCCCTGCCCCCCGCCTCCCTCCCATTCTTGATTACGTATCGCTTCATCAATCTGTGATCCATCATAGTTTCCCATAACATTGAGCCGTTTTGGAAACGGCTCGCCCACCTATTTTCCCTCTCCCTCTCTCCTTATTCATGATTTTATCATTGTGTAAATCGTGCGCCTCGCCGAGGGTTACGCGCAATTATTGTACAACAAGAAAATATAAGTCATATTAGGTGATAAGCCGAGGATTTTCTTTTTTTTCTTTCTTCTTACTTAAAAAAAAAAAAAAAAACGAGATCGAGCGAAAAGTAAAGAAAGATAAAATTAATGACGAACGCGAAAGAATATATAACACGTGCGTCGTGTGAATGACACGATCGAAGAAAGTACATCGTCGTAAAGAAGAACAACTCTCCTCGATTTTAATTATTTCACATTCTTTCGCGTTCCGATCCTCTCGATCGATAGCTCTTCCTTCGTTATTATTCTCTCTTTCCATTTCGCGAAAAGAGCTTCGTTATCCGTCCGATACATTTTTCCTTTTTCCTTTTCCTTTTCATTCCTTTTTTTCTTTCGCGTATGGAAACCATACTCGACGATCTCGATCCCCCGCGAATATCGAAAACGCGTAGATCCCCTCCTCTTCCTCTCTCATCCCATGAAACCTGAGATGTGAACGAAGAAGAATGCGATCCCGAGAATTTTATTATGGGGGATAAGAAACGATAAGAATGGGTCGAGCTCGTATCGAGAATCGTTTCCATTCTGCTCCACTAATTTCCCCCCCCTCCCTCTAAGAGCTCCACCTCTTCTCTTATATATCCATGTGTAATATATGCTCGACGAAAATAATCGGAGGTTATACCTGAACCGTATATATATATATATATATACCTTTTAATTTGCTTTCAACGCGTCCACTTCTATTTTCTCTCCCCTTTCTATCTCTTTCTCTCACTTTTAACGCCTTTATTTCACGTTTTAACTGCGTTAATAATAAATAATAGCCGGTACGCGATGCGAAAAAAGAAAAGAAAAAGAAAAAAATAAAAATAGAAAGAGATTAAAAAAAAAATTAAAATTAAAAAAAAAAAAGAAAAAAGAAAAAAAAAAGGTGAGAAACGGCTTATACAAAATATATTTAAGACTCACAGAATTTCTTCTTCGTTTCGTACATAATCGCAGAAGCGCTTTACTCACAAGTGCCTGTTCTATCTCCTTCTCTATCTTTCTTTCTTTTCTCCTTTATTTTTTTTTTTTTTTTTTTTTTTTCTTTTAAAGCTATTCATCCAACGTCTCTCCTCGTTTCATTTCGTTTATCTTCTCTGTTTAAACCCTGTTTAAACTGGCTCCTTTATGCAAAGTATACCCTTTTATCGTTTAGGAAACGATTGGTGTGCAAGAACAGAGGATAGATCGAATAGAACGAACGCCCAAAAAAACAAAATTGCAAAATTGTCGCGCTCTTTTCAACTCTAAAACACTTGTCCAACAAGCAGCTTTAGCCTTCACATTCGTTCGGCTGCCATGCTTCCAGGCTGTACATGTGTAGGATTGTTGTCCCGTCCGAATTCTTTTGTCTCGACCCGTGCATCGATCATTCGACTTGGATTGAAAAAAAAATTTTCACAAATATATATCTACGATCAAGAAGAAAAAGATCAAGAAGGAACGATGCTCGATGCACGCCTCGACTTGCGCCATCTTCTTTCTTTCTCGAACGTGATTCATACAACCGTTTCGCGGGGAAAGCGCGGATGATCGAATCGCGGATCGTTCGAACGGATTGAATGAGTCACGATCGACCTCTTAATCTTTAAGTTATTAATTAGTATGTATACGCTCTAATAATTGTCCATGTCTTATCTGTCGACTAATGATGTTGCTCTTGCATTATGTTCGCAGAACGCGTCAAAAGATAAGGTAAAGCTTTAAACGATCAGATCGTTAGATCGGCATGCATTCTTAGTGATTGAGATATGAAATAATAAAGTGCGTGTATTATTGTTAGATAACGTGAAGTAGATTACCAGGGATGGTGTGAACGAACGTACGCAAGAAAATATCGTAGAGATTAGACGTAGAGAGATTAAACTTGCTTGCTAAACGCTCCCTTAACGATACGAAATAATAATCGAGACGAATTTTATTCGATACATCGAGAGATTAATCTTGTTTTTTCTCTCTCTCTCTCTCTTTTCGCGCAAGATTTTTGATCTTTGCCTCGACTCGATCCTTCCATTTCATCTTTTTTCACGGATCTCATTTCACTTCTCTCGCATCTTTTTTTTCTTTCTTCTTTTTTTTTTTTTTTTCCGCTAACATTGTGCACGGCTTTTCGATAAAGAGAGAAGGACACACGCCCTCGTTTTATTGATCGAATTTAAAGAATTTGAACAAAAAGAAAAAAAAAAAAAAACGAACATGATCGAACGAGCGATTTTTAACAATCGGTGTTTATTTACGAATTTTTCGCGAATCTTCTTCTCGCCCCGCCCCGCCCCCTGCCCCACCACTCCCGTGAAAACACGTACCTGTTGTACAACCCCGCTTTGCGAAAGTTTACCAACCAATCGCTAACCCCGGACCTGGCCGTGTGTGAATTTCGATCGAATTTATGGTAAGCCTGTGGCGCCCGTTTCTCACTCACGTTTTCTCAAACTTTGCAGAAGAAGCCCGACTGGTCGAAGAAAGGCGAGGAAAAGAAGGTAAAGGAAGAGGAGGTGGAGGCATGAGGGCTATTGACGTTGCGCCCGTTCTCGAGACGTTATTTTCGAGAGAAGGGATCGTCCATCCATCCATCCATCCAGATAACATCTCGACGAGCAACAAACTTCCTCATTGCCGCTTCTTTTCATTCGTTCTTTTTTTTTTTTTTTTCCTTTTTTCTCTCTTCTCGATAATACAATTTTACAAATTCCCGAGATGCACGTATCGTGATAAAAAAATCAAATATTATCAAACTTGCTCGATTTGTATCGAGAATTCACCGGATATGTTTCCGAATCTCTAATCCAAAGAATTCAGAATTTTGTGACTGACCGATGTTTTTTTTCTCTCTCTTCGTTTCTTCTCGTCTACGAGATATATGTATATGTATATGTATATTTTTTTAAAAAAGGAAACAAAAACCCTGTATCGTTCTCCGTCTCTGTCAATGTTCTTCTTCTTTTTTCTTTTTTTTTTTTACACTGTTGTCAACCCCCATACTATGTATCACTATGTATGCCGATTCGTGATTCTCTGTGAACCGGATGAAGGGAGAAACGAAACGTAATTGGAATATAACAAGAAAGGGAAATCGTTACTTAAGATTTATTGTAAATCAAAATATTTAACAACGATGAAATACATTGTGGCTGTGTGTTCATTCTCCTATTTTCCCCCACCATTTCGTTCTTCCTTCCTTCCTCGTCTCGTCGATTTTCTATGTTCTATGTTCCCGTTACGATCGAAGGGGACAGTTTCCTTTCTTTTCTTTTTTCTTTTTTTTTTACGTGAAATAAAAGATAATTATTACAAGTTCGATGTATGTATATCCGTTTTTTTATTCGCGTTTGAAACTGTCACCTTCGATCGAATTCATCGTTCCAGAAGAATCCGCAGTCTTACACTCGACAAAATATTGGCAAAGTTTCGAGTATCGTTAATCTCGCGAAACGACTCAATTATCGGATCGGGCGATTATTATAAGAATTTTTTTTCGCGGGAGAAACGAAATTTTTATCGCTTCGTTCGAGGCTTCGTCTCGAAAAGGTTGTAAACCTGTCAAAGAGCCAATGAGGCGTGGCGAATGGTGAAGAGCGAGGCGTGCACATTCGACCGAGAAATTTTACGTCTTTACGAATATCGACGATGCCTGTATCGTAAGAAACGAAGCTGTTAACGAAGCTTCGACGAATTTTCGAATATCGATTTAATTTCCTCCTTTTTTTTCTTCCTTTTTTTTTTTTTTTCTAACACAGCGACACTCGTTCACAACACAGCGAGAAGAATAATTCATAGAAATTGAATTTGCAATCGGGAAACGAGCACGGTAGGTTGAACATCGATCGGATCACGCTTAATTACGACTCGCCAAATAGGCTTGCAAAGCTTTTTCGCGTACGTTTCGTTACAATTTGCGCATTGTTTACGGGCAACGTATCGTTCCCTTCCAATTTTATTAGTCGTCGGGATCGAGAAAACAACGCCATCTGCCGCGATAATCCTTGCCGATAATTCGTCAGCCAATTTTTCGTCCATATTTTTTCCTTTTTTTTTTTTTTTACAACGAATGCGCAAATTCAGAATTATACCCGCGTATTTGCGAAGCGAAGCTCGTTCGACGGACGCGCATTCGAATTGCAATGTTTATCATTGGAACGGCATTGTTTAATTATCTTGACAATATTCGTTATCGCGTACGGCCATTGATTTACACTATCGAAATGGCCACGCGCCGTTCGCGGCAAACGTTGTTGCACAGAGAACGTTGTTATTATCATCCGCTCGAACGAGCGATGTATCTATAAACGACGACCTTTGAAATGTGCACAGATGTCTTGTAAATCGACCGATTTTTATCTCTCTAAAAAAATCTCCGCTCGTCGAGAAGACATTTTTACCTTCCTTTGTCGTGAAAGCACGATTGTTGATTAATTGTGAAACAGCGAGTTTCGTTAATTTCGGGATGGAAAGATAGCCGTGATTTCCGTGTAGGAGGAACCAGCTCCACCGCCTGAACCGCCACAACCGACGCCATCGCCGACACCCGCACCGCCAGAAACCGCACCAACGCCGTCGCCAGAACCCCCAACGCCGTCGCCAACGCCGTCGCCAGTACCTCCCGCCGAGCCAGCTCCTCCACCTGCTCCGGAACCTGGTCCACCCGCGGAAGGGGCAGCACCGCCAGCGCCCCCGCCAGGTCAGTGTCCATCACTTTAACCGCTACTTTTTTCTCTCTGCATCACTCTCATCACGTTCTACTTCTATCAAATTAATACAAATCGCTTTTGTTCGCAAGCCATCGGGGACGAAAGACCAACACTCTCTCCGGCCACTTTAGATTAGACTCGTTAATAATAACCCGAGTAATTGTTCAGAAGGTGCACCTGCAGAAGGGGCAGCACCAGCGGAGGGGGCGCCACCGGCTGCTCCTGCGGAGGGGGCAGCGCCACCAGCGGAGGGCGCGCCGGCCGCACCTCCCGCCGAAGGGCACCGCCGCTGAAGCGCGCCCC